CCTGCTGCAGCTGGAGCCGGGCCTCTGTGCCGAGCTGGAGGCGGGACGCAGGTACGGGCGGGGTTGGGCGCCCCCTGGAGGGCGGGGAGGGTGTCGCCGCTTGGGGCCCGGTGACCCGAATGGCGACCGGAGGTAGGCTCGAAGGATAGGGTTAGGCCAGCCCCGCGGCGGGAAAGCTGGAGTTTTCCACCCTTTACAGTTCGCCCCGCTGTACTTACGCTGTAAGTGTTGTGTGGGTTAAAAAACAAGGAAAAAAAGGTGGGGCGGGGGATGGTTGATGTGTTGGTACAGTGGGAGTCGGTGACAAGGACCGAAAGGTTCCTGTTCCCAGACTATCCAAGCTGGTCAGAGTCGCAAATTAATTATTGAAGTTTCCCACAGCTGTAGGCTGTTGTATTGGTGACTGTTCTTTGTTTGCTTGTTTGTTTCGTGCATATGGAAAAATTGCTTCTCGTGACACTTCTAGCCAAACTCGAGGAGTGTTCTTGCCAGGCATATAAAGATAGATGCCTAAAAATTTGTGTTTGGGAAAGGAGATTATGTCTTTAAAAGAATCCCTCTGGCTTCTGAGATTTTCTTATTGAAACTCTTTGAGGTTGGGTGGATGGCAGGGTGCCTACAAGTTAGACAAACAGGACAGCGAAGGACATACAGGCATTTGGTAGGATGCTTACCTGATACCTAACTGGACCAAGAGCAGACTCTAGATAAAGTTTTTCATACCATTTTAAAATTTCTTCCTTGCTGCAATGCCAGTGACATAATAAAAATGTTTAAAATGATACAATATTAGAACTCCCTCCAAAGAAAATCGTCCTCAGAGATGTATAACTCTTTTCGTACTTGGTGTAGTATTGGTAAGTGTCATGGGTTAGAGGCCTGAGGGCCACTTGGGGCACCGCTGAGCTTTGTTCACACATGCAGGCGTTTGGAAGCAAGATAAGCAGTTTGATGGATTTGAATGTGAGCACGGTAGTGTAGCCTGAGAGGAACTGAATGTTCCCCTGTTGTGGTCCTGCTTTGGTATTTATCACATCCTCACTAAGAATCTCTCTTTAATCAAGTATGTGAGCTGAAGAGGGGGGATTTGCATTGATTCTTTTGTACTGAAATGCTCTAGAAGATGGTTTCCTGCTTGGAATTATTGCAAGAAAATGTGCATGTTTTTGAGAGGGAATTATCTGAAGGATGCTGCACAACTGACACAATTTCTGTTTGCTTTCTTGCTTCACAATGGGCCAGTTTCAGTCTTCATTAAAGAATAATTCTAGTTGTAATCTCATTTCTAAGATTAGTGAACTAGTTCAGGCTTTAAGCATCACCTAATCAGTGTTTTAGGGGGGGTTGTGTGAAAAGGCAGGTGAGGACATTCAACTGCAATCTGCAGGAAAAACCTTGAATACTTGTCTTTCAGAGTGGGAAAACTCAAAAAGGTGAGCAAAACCCATAGTGTTAAAACGTTTTAGATTAATTGAGAATTACATCTTTATATTTTGGTATACTGTGAGTGTTGCTACCAAATAGAACTGCAATTTATAACTTCTTTACCAATCTATAAATGTGAAAAAGTATCAGACAACTTTAATAGGTGTTGATCCTGAAACAGAGGTAAAAGAATACATCTTTATTTTTGTGCTGGTTTTTTTTCCAGCCTAGTAATCCGCGGTGAAAAGGATGAACAAGCAGTGTTGTGCAGCAAAGATAAAACTTACGACATGAAAATAGCAGATACCTCAAATATGCTGCTGTTTATTCCTGGTTGCAAAACCCCAGAACAGCTGAAGGCAGATCAAGCGTCTTGTAATATTATTCATTCACAGGTATGTCTTTCTGGGTTCTTGTTTGTTTGCTTTAATTCTCTACTTTCTTATTCTCTATAATTTCTTGTGTTTTATCCAAGATGCATAAGTGAAACCCAGCTGGGATTCAGTTGCCTAAACATAGGCTTCTAATGCCATTTTAGATGCTTTGTGGTATTGGTCTAGCTGTGAGCTGCCACTGCAGAAGGACGTGAGTCTCCTGTAGGTTCTTTGTATATTGAACAGCCCCAGGAGGGTGTCTTTAAAAATATGCTTTATACGGAGGGGGAACGCTATATCTTAGGGTGTCCAAAATGGCTCTAGGGCCTTTCTTTAGGCAACTGAACTTTGTCCATAATGTATGATAATTATTGTTTCTAAGAAGTTAAAACTTTGGTTTATTTTCAGAGGATAGTAATTACTTGTGGTAGGTATTAAAAGTTTTCAAAGAAAATCTAAATTTCTCAGTGTTAGCAGCTATTTTTAAAATAAGCTGGCTGCAAATTGATTCTTAGGAGTGCTTTCCCCAAAAGGCAGATTATACCATGTCATGCCTGAATATTATTTTTTAAATACAGAAATACATTCAAAGGCGACTCTTTTGACTAGCGTCTGGAAAGATTTGGTGGAGTGAATGATTTGAGAGTTCTCGGTTTAAGGAATTGGTTGTTGTCTGCTCTTCTGAAGCATAGTTAATAAAATTCTACTAAAAATATTTAGGCAAATATTATTACTAGGTCATTATTTGCTGTAATGGATATAATTACATCATTGAGGAGTAATCCTGGATGTCCTTAGATGAACATAATAATCAAAGCAACATCATTTCTTCTGTGAAGTGAGCAGTTCAGTTAATAGAAAAAGTTAAATCAAACTAAAGTAGGTTAATGAGGAAGTAATATTCTTCCGTATTCTTTTTTTGTTGTTTAATGATCTCACTAATCCTCTGAAGTCACACGTGTCAACATAATATAAATGTGATTTGCTTAGGAATTATTTTTAGAGTTTTATTTCTAGGAGCTTTCTTAATGTTTTCAAAAATGTTACGTGGTGTATTGACACTGCAAATCGTGAAACGCAGCAAAATATACTGTGTTTATTCAGTATTTTGGGGCTTCACTGCCCTTTTCCTGCAGTCTCGGTGCTGCTCTTTGTACCACTTGCAAGGCTAATGCTCACGGCCAAAGCATCTGCCATTTTACTTGCCTTATACAGATCGGCTCCAGTTATGAGCTTTGGATTATAAATTAGAATTATGTTCTTTTCTATGCAGAGTACCTTCTTGTTCATTACCAAATTGCTCAGAAAAGAATTTGTCAGGAAAAAAAAATATAACACTTGGGTAAATATTTGGCATGGAGGGGAAAAAAAAACTTAGCAGTTTGTCACGTAGTTAGTATTTACCTGAATTTTCTGCCAAGGAAGCTATGGAATAGCTAGATTAAAACCTGAGAGCTTCCTCTCTGTTAGAATTTGGATAGGACTTGTACATATAGGTGGTTTGCTTATAGCTGATATAAGAGGAACATTATTTTAAAGTTTTGGGATGATCTTTAAAAAAAAAAAAGTCCAGTAAAGCATTTAGGGTATTTTAAAGTACTATCTGGAGGGTTTTTCGTGGAGAGTTTTGTACAAGGGGCTCGTCGTTGGGTCAGGACTCACGAACATGGAGCCTATTCTGCCTCTGTTGTTCCCACTTCCGTTGGTTTGGTAAACAGCAGAAACAACGCTGAAAGGCCCCCGATACTCTGTCCTCTTCAAAGAATCTTCTAGGAAGTCCAAGCTGTGCCCCATGAAACACCTCAGGATTACTCTGGAGGTAAAGTTTTATTAGATTAGTGTTGTTGAATCGATTGCACCTGAGCTGCCTGTTGCACCCTTTAGATTTGTGTGTGAATCAGAGTAAGGAACAGAGATGTCTGGCTGGTTGTGTGCAACTGTAGCTTACTGACTCGTTAATGTCTGTTTCACTTGAGCTTAGTGATGTGGTGATTCATTACTGTGTAAAAAGACCATGAAGTAGATACTAAGCATGGGACATAGGGAAGGTGGAAACAGGATAATACAGGAGGAGGTTTATGGCAGTAATATAACTTAGTATTAAGAGGAAAATAAATGTTGATGAGGACTTTGCAGGAAGATATCCCGTGGTGATATTCTGTCATTTGCATGTGGAGACGAGTTGTTCCCTTGTCATATGCACTAGGGACATATTTTTATCAACCAACAGTGAGTTCTTATTTTACATTGCCTGCGGTATTTTTTTTTTTTTTCTATTGAAAACATTACCGTGATTGTTTCATCGTTAAAGTCATTACCCTATTAATAAATTCTTCTCAGTGATGAGATTAACACTTTCCGCTGATAATTTTTGGTAAGCTTCTTTGAATCCAAATGGTAGATCAAAATGGTAGTCACTGTTTTTTCTTGCAGATTGCTGGTTTCTCCAATAACTATTGGGAATTAAGGAGACGTCGACCGAAATTGAAGAAACTGAGGAAGCTTTTAATGGAAGATCCATATGAAGGGCCAGATAGTCAGAAAGATCAGACTTTGACATTTTCGAAGGTAAATCAACTACGTAAATTACTTTCTTGAATTGGTAATGGGCAAATTAAAGTGAAGGTACATTCTTAACTAGAAAAATACCTTTGCTTCCATGTTTTCACAGTGCTGCTTTGAGTTGCTTTTTTAAGCCTACTATTCTAAACAAGTTGATAATTATTAGCACATTCACTTTTCATTCTTGCTGTGATACTTTACTTACGGTGCTTATTTGGGCTAGTTTGACATTCTGGGACTACAGACTGTATATTCTTATGCATGACACAAAGACTTCCCTGTACTTAGACTGGTTTTTATATTGAAAAACCCTTTGAGAAAACTCTGTAAGTTTCAGAAGAAGTTTCAAAGAGTGTAGTAAACCTTAGAAAATACAGAGTCTGGGGGGAAAAAAAAATCTTCTCAGTCTTTCTTTCATTATATCTATAAGGCATTTAGCATGCTTGCCGAAGCATAGGAAGGGTAAGGATAACCAGTTTTATTTTCTTCTTTTTTTTCCCTTGTTGCAGTATACAACAGAAGATCTGTTAAGTCTGATTCAAGCGAGTGAAGAAGAAATATTGCACCAATTGCAGGTTATAGATGCCTGCAAAATTGAAGGTATTTATCTCTAAAGAACAGTATTGTCTATGAGGAAATAACCCTGGTGATTTTTTTTTTTTCCTAAAATATCTGTGTCTCCTTTTTCTAAGGCCCGTTCCACATCCTTGTCTTTCAAGGTGCAAGTTACTTCAAAGTACTAAGATCTGCTTCCATATTTCCTATATCCTTTGCTGCTGTGAAGCTGATCAAAAGGATAAAACTGAGCAGGCATTGACCAGTCTGGCTCCTCCCAGGGTAATTCCTTCTTTGCTTCCACATTGGCATCAGAGTATCCCATCCATAACATAAATATTTTTGGGCTGGTTACCCTCTTCATGGATGAGTGGGTACTGCTTTCTCCAGTTCTAGAGGCAAAAATAGCTGTTCCCTAGGTAACCCCAGCCCTTTCATAGTTCCTCCCAGGCTGGGTTTATCTCAGAAGTCTCCCTACCGGGTGAGGCAGGGCTGATACAAGTGCCGCACCTTGGGACAGGTCCTGCTCACAACCAAGCCCAAACCCTCACCCGGATGCCAGGCAACAGCAGTCCTAGAGTCAGAGAGTAACACAGGGCAGAACTGAGCTCTGGAGGTTATCGGGTCCAAAGCCCTGCTTTAGAACAGGGCCAGCTTGGAGCTGGCTGCTCAGGGCTTGGGCTGCTTGAGTTCTCAGCATTTCCAAGGATGGAGATTGCACAACCTCTGTCCGGGTTGTTCCAATGTTTGACTATCCGCAGGGGGAAAAAAATTCTCGTAATACCCAGCTGGGGTTTCCCATGTTGCAACTTGTGCTTGTTGCTTCCTGTCTCACTGCTGAGCACCACTGGGAAGACTTCTGCTCCGTCTTCTCTATCCCGTCCCATAAGGTAGGCGAGGAGAGTCTCAGAGGTGACTTTCCTTGTAGTGTACAGCCGCACAGCACCGTTGTACCGGATATGTGCTTTGTCACATCTGGATTTTCTGTGTGCTTGGCTGGACCTGAACTGCCACTTTGCAGGGCCAGTGCAGCCAGTTCTGTTCATGCAGTTCTGTGTCTGAATTAGTTATTAGTTTTTCCAGATCTGATTCATCTTGGGATGGGATTTGTAGTGTCTTTGAATCTGTGGCAGTTAATCTACATAAACAGTTACGAACAATTGAGATGATTTAATTTCTTTCTCCTTTATATTTGCTCTTACTATTCTGTTCTTTTTCTCACTTTTAATCCTGAACAGGACAGAATGCTGTTGCTGTTCTTTGTAAAGGTGTGACCTAAATATCCAGACTCCTGTAATATATCCTCAAGGGAACAGAATTAAGGTGTTAATGTTTTCCTTCTAACACTGTTTTGTGGGGTTTTTTTGTTCGGCAGGATATTGGAGAATTCTAGAATTTGACTATGAGATGAAACTCTTGAATCACGTGACTCAGCTAATAGACTCAGAGTCCTGGTCTTTAAGTAAGGTTCCTTTACGTACCTGCCTTGAGGAACTTGGATCTTTAGAGCCCACGTAAGTACTTTTAGTACTTAAAGTTGTCTACAATCATTATTAACTATCACTAACTACAATAGTTATTAATTATTATTAGAATTATAATCTTATAACTCTAGATTGCTGTTACCATGGTGTTAATGATATGTTTTCTTTAGCCCCAAAATATACAAGGGCATTAATAGTTCAGACAGGCAGGCTATTAAACTGATTTTAGTGTCTATTGGTAATATTACCATTGATTCAATAGTAGAAACATTGCTACTGAATGGTAAATGATGAAGTAGCAGTCCTTAAGCCGTAAATCACTGACCATCTTGAAATACTTGTTCTGAAGCTGTAGGTAGCCAAAAATGTTTAGTTTACCTCTTGCATAATGTCTGAGATAGTGGTATGTTTTCTGGTGTAACACTGAATTCAGAGTGTAAGAGTTGAGTTCATTGTGCTGCCCCTTGCAGCCATGAAATAAGTCAAGATTACTGTTCAAGCAAAGTCTTTAAGTTTACAGTAAGTAGCATTTTCCATTTATTTGGCTTTTTGCTCAAAAAAGAAATCTCGCTTTAATATTAGTGTATGCAGTTAGGCTGTAATTTTGTGCCAGAGTTGTAGAAAAATGCCTACTATTCAGTAAGGGATAATTAACTGCCAGATTTGCTACTTGTGTCACTTCTCATCAGAAAGAAGTGACATTGTAGGAGTCTCTTTCTTATTCTCCGTACACCTTCTAGTCTTTGCTAGTTGCAACTAGGAAGTGGAAGACATTTTTGGGGGTGACATGCTCAATTAACTCCCATCCGTCCCGTTTGTTGCGTCTTGTCCTCTTTTAACTTACTTCTAAGTTTTTATCAAGTTGTTCATTTCAGCCATGAGGATGTGTCCTGTCCTCCATTCAGCTTGAGTTTACTTTACCTGTCCCTTCATCGTCTTGCTAACTGTTTCTGTAATGTCCTAATGAACAGTTTTAAAACTTTTTTTTTTTTTTTTTTTTTTTTTTTCCCAGAGAGATGATAGAACATATTCTTTTAAGCTATGGAAGGAAATACACTGATGATGGTAAGTTTGGGAAAGCGTGCCTATTTTAATTTTGCATAAAGGAAATAGTTATTCATGAGTAAATGCAGATTTTGTGAGGATGGCCCAAACGAATGAATTTGCTAAGATGCTGGTAAAAGGAGGGAGCAAACAGCGAGCTAAAGATCAGTAAAATTGTTAGAGAAAGTTTCATAGGAAAAAGGACTATTGAACAGTACAAGGCACTAGGGAAAAGTCAGGAACTATCAGAGGTAGCTGATTTATTAGGTGTCTACAGGCCATAATTTTGTGACTAAATTTGTAAAATTTAGATGGAATCTCTCTTTAGATACTCTAGGAGGTCTCAGATATCGTGTGTTTAAGCAATTAATTGTACCATTGTGAATAGTCAATGGCATGTAGATATGCCTGAATTCAGCTTGCCTGAAGTAGGCATCTGCCTTTGGTGTCTTGAACTGCACCACAAGATCTCACATATACACATAATATTTTGGTGCCTGAACCTCAGTCTGAACTCTTACAGTGGCTTTCATCTCACCTTTGGCTGAAGTGGGAGCTGCACTCAGCCTTAAAGGGCATAGGAAAGTAGTTGGAGTGACACAGATTGTCGTCTTGGTATACTTAGGCTGGTTGCACAAGGAACCAGATTGAGTTGCAGGAAGTCCAGACGGCTGGAAAAGTGGAAGGAAGTGTTTATACCTGACATTGTGCGGAGAATTTTAGTCCAAGGCAGTGAGAATTAAAAGAAAATCTTCCTATTCACTTAATCATTTCATATTGTAAGGATGATTAAGGAAGTGAAAGTTTTGCTTAATTATTCAACCACAGACAGCAAACACTTTAATACAAGCCGTTCAGAAATAGGAGTGAAAGCTGTAGGAAAATCAGTGTTATTGCGGACAGGGGAAAAGAAAATGTTGGGCAGGGATCAGTTGATATGAATTCGTGCTGTAGCTTGGACGGTGTGGCGCACACATAATATTCTGCTTAATTTATTCTTGAGAAGGACAAGATAACATCATTTATCCAAAGTAACACCAGGTCAGGTTTCTCCCTGAGGAAAAGAAAAATCAGGATAGTTGGTTTGTGGAAGACTGTAGAACAGAATGGAAACACAAGGCTCTTCTCTGTTCTTTTATCAGAAAGCAAGAACCCAAGATACATTGTTTTTTGTTTCTCAACAGGGGAGGTTTACTTTGAAATGCGTGAAGATAAAATATGTAGAGCTATAGCGCAAATGCTTTTGCAAAATGCAGTTAAATTCAATCTGTCGGAGTTTCAAGAAGTCTGGCAACAAAGTGTCCCTGAAGGGATGACAACAAGGCTTGATCAGCTTAAGGTAAAAACGTAATGAAGTGTGGATTCTTTCGTGAGTGGGCTGTTAGCCGACTTGTCACAGGTAGATTTTATCGATTACTGGAGATTGTGTTATTTCTGTCACCTTTCAAGTTAAAGTACTTAGGACATCCTCTGTGAGCATCAGTAGTCTGGAATCATGACAGTTCGGGTTTCTGTAAGTCTGGCGTGTTTCACCGTTTGAAGAAAAGTTGCAGCTGTACAGTTAACGCTTGTAACTAGAACAGAAGCTGAAGCTGTTGTTGAGCAGACTGTAGTGACAGCTGGTAGAGTCACAAGGACTATGAAAATCCTTCTGCTCGAAGGACGTAGAGAGATGTTGGGACTTAATGGATTTCCCCCTCCCTTCTTGTCATCAAGCAAATGACACAAACTGCCTGTAAACCAGCGCCTTTGTGATGCGCTTTCACCTCGCCTCTAGCAGTGCAGTTTTAGAAGGCTTTGGAGGTGCAAAGGACAACTTGTATGGATTATTGCCAGAAAGGAGGAGGATTGTTTTGTCTTTACTTAACATTTTCTCTCTGATGCTGATCTACAGGGCTTGGCTCTTGTGGATAAAAGCTTAAGACCAGAGACCATCTTTCTGCTAAAAGTAGAAGACTTGCCTGAAGACAACCAGGAAAGATTCAACAGCTTATTCAGCATACGGGGAAAGTGGACAGAAGAGGATATTACCCCTTATATACAGTAAGGATGTACTTCTTTTTATTAAAATACAATTAGCGTTGTATTCTCCCCTTTTTTGCATAGCTGACTTCTTGTCAGCCATGATTGCCTCAAATACTGTACTTTCCATTTTAAATTAATACAAATTCTGTATGAATAGAACTGGGAGCTGTAGCTACATTCATTGGATTTAAACTTGTGTAAAAAGCTGATCCTACTAAATTTGAATGGGCAATAACTCTGACTGAGGCAGACTTAACTCAAAGGATAAACCTCCTGACATTTATAATCAGTCTCTGTACTTGGAACCCAAGAACTACAGAGCAGTAGTGCTTCTTGTGCTGAATCCTTTGTTCTCTTGGTGGTTAACATGTGCACGACAGCGCTGTCTGGAATGCCCAGCCAGGACCCACGTGAGCAGATACAGATGGTAACCCAGAAGTAACTCTGTCAAACCTTTACAAGTGGCTCTAAATTTACTGTAGTGTAATTATGTAGCTCAAAGCTAACTGTTTTGCTAGATGGAAAACCCATTTGAGAACAGTAATTATAAAAACCAACCAGCCCCTCTAAAACCCAAAATTCTTGTTTCTGAAGTAAATAGCGTAGTTTTGCCTGTTGCTTAAATGTCAAGCCAAGTTCTAAACTTGAGGTAATTTAGAGCATTAGGTGACAGTTACAGTAGTATTTTGGGTTTTTTTTCTCACAAGACCCTAATCCAGTTTATTGCTATATTTACAAGTATTTCAGGGATTCATTTTGTACGAGAATATCTCTAATGCCGATGTTATCTGCTCTGTTTCCTCTATAGAGACTTATGTGCAGAGAAGCAGACAGTTGGTGCTCTTCTGACAAAATATGCTCGCTCCTCAATGCAGAATGGTGTTAAAGTTTATAATTCTAGAAGACCCATCTCATAACAAGTACTGGTTTACGAACTGGCAAAACTGAATGGAGTAACAGTGAACGTTGCTTGTTGCTGCCTTCTGGGGAAAGGGGTTGTTTTCTTGAGTTTAAGCAGCTGAGCTTCTTGAACGAGTTCTGTTTTCTGCTCAGCTATGTAGAATGTGAGGGCACTTGCCTCTTCTGAGAAACTCTAGCATCAGTAGCCCAGGGCTGCCTTCCTTTGCCTGCCTTCTTTTTCCTTTCTCTCAGCAGTTATGCCATGAGTCAAGGTACTCTGCAAATACACTTTAGCTGTTTATCCATAAACTGAAGTCTAACATGAAAAATTAAAACCTCCTTGATAATAATTAAATTAATTGAATTGATTTCAACTGCAAAATGCTTGCCCATTAGTGAGCATTCTTAAAGTTTAAGATACCGTTGTGGTGTTGACATTTTGAATACTGCAGACTTTGACAAGCTCATCAACAAATTATTCCCGAGACCACAGCAGGCTTAATTTTGGAGGGTGGTTCTTTTTGTGGTCATGTCTGTGAATAACATTGGCACAAGCTCTTGACACTTCAACACTTGGCAGAATTGCCTTGTAAATATTTCTAAAAACCAAATTGCAATCGAGTGTGAAGATATGAGAGAATAGTTGGACGTGGTGTCATGAACTTCCTGTAAACTGCCAGTAGAATGTAGCTGAGGTAAAATTAATGTGTTACAGAAGACTACCTTTGGTTTTTAAAGAGAACTTACGGAACTTTGTCATACAATTATTTTTTTAAAAAAACTTAGTTACGGCAAATAACTTCACATAGAAATCGTGCCTTGAAAACTTAGGGTGGAATATTATTCTCTGTAGAGCAATGAAATAAGATTTTTTTTTTTTTTAAATGATCTTGTCATAAAGTGGAGTGCCTGAAATGGAAATTTTGTCATCATTAAAAAGGATTGTTTGCATGTCAGTGAACCAGAGTTTAATACCAGACATTTTTCAGATTATTTTTGTTAACTTAACAATTGTAGGTGTTTTTTTAATACAAGAAGCATTTGCTGGCTCAAACTCAGATGTAAAGTATGAAAAACCTTGGAACTGCTACTGTGCCAAATGTAGGGTGAGCAGGGAGAGGAACGAAAGTGTAAATCAAGTGTAACTCTTAAGGTGGATGTGTGCATCCTTGCAATTTTGTTATACATAAAAAGCTGAATAAAAACTACTTCCTGAGCTGTGCTTATTCCTGCCCACGGGTGCAGGACCAGTTCCCTGTGCTCCCCCTTTCTGAGTGTACAAGTGTGGCGTTTGACCCCGTTGCGTAGAGACTCGGCTGGCTGGTGATGGCTCTGCCGGGAAGAATGGCCGTGTTCCCTGCCTGGTTTCGGCAGCTGTGGCCCTTTCTTTCAACGGCACCGGAAGGTTCCCTCAGCGAGACCAGCGGGGGCATGACTGTAACTTCCGTTGCATCACGGAAGGTCCCTGGGCTGAACTACACAGGACATTTAGTCGCGTAGCCTGCGATGCAGCACTGCGTATTTACCTTGGGTTTTGTTTGTGAAACAAGGAGGAATTTAAGTATTACGTGGATAGTGCTGTGCCATAAACCCAAATCATTACTTTGCACTAGCTGGGTAATTTCTGCGTGTTCTGGATTGTTGCAGTGCTTCCGACTTGCTTTGTCAGACTGAACTGAGATGATGCTTTCTAAATTTTGGGAATGGCTGATGCTGAAAGGGTTAACTCCATGAGCTGCTTTGATGCAATGTAAACTAGATGGATCAAAACTTGCTTATACTAGAACAAATCTTGGTTATTTATGAAGATACTTCGTGCTGTGTTCTCCTGATGCTGTAACTGAAGACACCACAGCACACTCGCTGTGGGAGGGAAGAGGTCTCTGGACCCAATCTAATTTTGTAG